AGTCGGATTAACCTCGGTTCTCGTTCACCTCTGTACATTCCATCTCTACCAACAGGCGCTGAGCATTTGGTACAGCTTTGGGCAGCACCGCGTTGAACTCTCAAGTATTCCGTTGTTATGACATACGATAAACCAGCTACTGCTCCACCGAGTAGCATTCGAATCATTTCTTCGATAACACTTAGCAATATTTCCTCAAATATCAACCCTGTGAATTCAATACTTCGTAAGTACTTGGCACTCTGAGCTTCAAACCGTTATCTTCATTCTCATGATCAAACTAACTTTCGGACTATCGTTCATACTGTTTACTGATTAAGAATGATCTTTTCAAGCTGCAAGATTTACGGGAGTCTGTTTGGTACTTGATACTTACAATTTTGTTAAAGTAACACTGCCCGGTGCTGATTTTATAGCAACAAGTTTGTCCATATAATCATTATTTTCCTTTGAAAAACTTAGAGCTTTTAGTGAAGCGTGATGTGTTGATGAAATTAACTGGGTGAGTGGTTTTGTAAATTGTTTGATGTATTCCAACACGATGTTCACGTGCGGTGCACAATCCCGTTTGATTGATTGCTAACGTGAGAAAACACAACAAACCGACCTTATTGGTTAGTAGTCCATTTGTAAAAATGAATTCAATTAATAAACTTCACTAATTTTGTTGTTTTCGTATATTTGCATATGGGAATGGTGTAGTTTCAAACAGAATTAAGCATATTTATTTCCAGTGCACTATTTTGTTATTATCAATGACAATTGTAAGGGAGGAATGTTTAGAAACGTTTCCTATTCTATGAACTAAATGCCAACTTTAGTAATTCGAANAATGACAATTGTAAGGGAGGAATGTTTAGAAACGTTTCCTATTCTATGAACTAAATGCCAACTTTAGTAATTCGAATCAAATCAACTAAAATTGGGATTTTTTATAGCAGTTATTTTCATGTTCTTCTCAGTATTCATTGAAATGTGCATAAAGCAGTGTTTCTCACATTAGCAACCTCCATTATCCCTTCTGATGGTATAACAGGCCATCATTATTCCCCATCCCTCCCCCTCCCCCCATTCCCTCTAAAAGAATTCACCGTTTTCGCGCGTAATGTTCGGAGCAAATCGAAAACCGGTCCGGAAATTCCAAGATGCATGAAAAAAAATCAATTTTTTGGAGTGAAACAATGATTTTTAGAATCTCATTTATCAGTTGCACAAAAAATGCAAACCTTAGCAACGCCCCAAATCATCTGCCAAACGGTAATTTCCCCTAGGAGAAACACTAGAATAAAGCCATATTTCATTATTGCATCAGCCTGAACTTGCTGTATGTCAGTTGATGAGCTAAAGTAAGAGCGATTAAAAAATCGGAAAGTATGCAATAGCGTTCCAAAAAATTATTTTCATTTGAT